ACAACAGTTTATTCTGAATCATTACCAACACCACCACTTTTAAAAATATAATCCAATGTATACAGTATTAACTGTTCTAACATTAATGATTGACAACTAAAAACTGTTTTTTTTTATGAATTTGTATTCGCATAATCCAGGTGGAAAGTACAACTTTGCTACCGCATTTAAACCATGGAGGGAATGTTTAAACATAGAACAAGCAGGTAATTTGTGATGGAATATAGTTCAATGTGATATGTGGATGTTATCAACCCACGACAGTTCTACATAAAAAACAAAGTATTATAATACACTAAAACTTATCAAATTCGCAGTATAACTTGTCTACCCTACGTAAGGTATTAGAAATTAACGGCCACTTTTGGAGCATCGGTCAGGTAAAAGTTTGAGGGAAAAAATGACAGGAAATTTCCGTTAACGTACAATAACTATCAGTTGATTTTGATGTTAAAGTTCATTAGAAGTCACGTGTCTACCAAATCATTTTCAATTGCTTCAACAATTTTTTTTGTAAATATTAGGAAAGACTTGGCCTGTCCATTGCACTATCTCCCTCGTAATAACAACGCAAATCGTTCTTCCTTAGTTCAGTGTCGGGTGTTAACATGAAATTGAAACAGAGCTAACACTTTTAGACCCCAAAAAAGTCGTGTGGACACGTTCAAATTAACTCCTGTCTGTTACATGATGCAATCCCTTATACAATGTATCACTAAGCCATTATATCACATAATTAATCTCTCTATTGTTTCTGGCATTTTCACGAATCAGCTAAAAATTGCCAAAATTACTCCTATTTGCAAGAAAGGTTTCCCACACCAGCCCTGTAATTACAGACCGATTTCTATTCTGCCAGTTCTCAGCAAAAACTTTGAAAAATGTATCATCAAACAACTTCTGCAATTTCTCGAAAAACAAAAATTCATTCACAAGAACCAATATGGCTTTCGTAAAAAGTACAGCATTAAACTCGCCCTTATTGATACTGTCTATAAATTGTTGAAAGACATTGACAAAGGTAATATAGTTCTTGGTGTTTTCCTTGATTTTGCAAAGGTCTTTGACACTATCAACCACAATATCCTCTCTCCAAATTATCCAACATTGGCATTCGAGGTATTCCCCTGAAATTGGTTTGGAAATTATCTTGTAACCGAACTCAGTATGTTAATGCATATAGTTGTAATTCCACACCCCTCCCCATTAGGTATGGTATTCCTCAGGGCTCTATTCTAGGTCCCCTTTCTGGTTTATATAAATGATCTCCCCTCCTCATCACCGTTCTTTAATTTCAAGTTATTTGCTGACGATTATAATCTGTTTCACTCTTTTAACAATCCTATTCATAATTCACTTGACATAGACTCCAACCTGTCCTTGATTAGCATTTGGTGCACAGCCAATGAACTAACAGACAATACAGATAAAACCAACTTCATGGTGTTCTCATCTGCACAAAGAAATTATCAGACATATAGGTACTCTCCTTTTGAATGACCATCCGATAAATGAAACAAACACCACAACATATCTTGGCTTAACTATTGACAATCACTTAACCTTGAAACCCCACATCAACAAAATTATGTAAAATATTCCACCCCTGATTGGACTGATTGCCAAAGTACGCTATCTTCTCCCCAAATTTGCCCTAATTCTTCAATATAATTCGCTGATTTTACCGCATATATCTTATAGATTTGAAGTATGGGGTATATAGTACATATCAAACAACATTAGACCAAATCTACAAGCTACAAAAAACTCGTATCATGCTTTTCAAAGATAATTTCACACACAGTAAACCATTATTTCACTCATTAAGAATGTTGAATATATATGACCTAAATACAAACTATGCATATTCATCCATGATCTGCTCCACCATAGACTCTCTCGGATAACAGAACACTACTTCACTTTATCTGATCATCAGCACTGCACCCGGTTTTCATCGCATTCCAGCTACAAACTTCCCCCTTGGCCAATTTTCAATAGACTTCCAAGGCGCTAAACTCTGGAACAATTTGCCAGCACATGTAACATACACTGTTAGTCGAACCGGTTTTAAAAAAAGAATTAAAAAAATACTTGATCTCCTCTTGGTCTTTCCGCAACATTTGCTTTTAG